GGGTGTGTAGCTTGTTTTAGACTCCCCTTCCCCCTTCCTGTAAGAAAGAAACCTGCTCTCAGTTTTAAGTGCTTTTCCCTGTAGGCTGCATTTGTGCCCTCTGGGTCGTGTTTCATCATTGTTTCTGAAGAGATCAGTTAGGTAGACTTTGTCAGTGTCGTTAATGATTTTCAATACTTGAATCAAATCCTCTTGTCGTCTTCTCTTTTCAAGTAGAGTGTTCCTATCAGCTAGAACATGAGTCTGGTTACTCTTCTGTGAAAGGCTTCCTGAGCAGCAATATCTTTTTTTCTTCATATGGTGACACATATTAACGGTTTTCTCAGCGAATGTTTATGTTGCCTGGTCCAATTTTAAAATGGCATCTATTTAAATTCCGTTCTTTTAACTATATACTGTATTTCAGCATTCTGTGAGATTGTTGTTGGTTCCCCACATTGTGTAAAAAAAAAAGGAAAATGATTTGTCTATGACAGATATTTAAAAACACCTGTGTTATTTATAGCTGGCTTCTTAAAACTCTGCACCTGTCTTTCTGCCAAGTGTTTCTGGTATTACCTACTGTACTGTACAATGAGTAACACATAAATCCCCCCTTTTACACAAAACCACTTTTTTAATTTGATTTATTTTAAAAAAATGATTTAATTTTGTGAACTAAATTCTACATCAATGAAAAATATTTTTCACTTTGAAAACGGTGAAGCAGATTGAAGGTAGTATAATCCAAATTCATATCTGAACTGCGGTTTATGTCATGTAAGAGTTTGCCTCAAACATTATCAGAGTGAGCTGCACATTTGCCGGAAGTTTTGAAATTCTCAGCTCTGGGGAAGAAAGAGCAAAACTCAAGGCACTTTCAACCTCAAGTCTGTTGCAGTGCTTATTTTTGATCATCAAAAGTGTACAAAACACCACATATTGGGAGATGCTCAATTAGGCGGCTAGCCTTGCGTTTCTATTTATAAATTCTTTTAAAAAATGTTGCATTGTAGTCGGAACCTTTTGGTGTTTTGTACAAATTAGCTGTTTATAAAAAACTCTTTCTCCTGCCTTTGGACCCATTGAGAACTTCTGATCTACAACCTACAACATTGTCTAGTTTACTGAAATGATTGGTTTACTTGGATCGTTGATCAAAAAAGAATGAGTAATGATTCTAATACAGATTCCAAAGGCGCTCTAGTAATTATGGCACCTCAGAGTATAAGTGTATTCTCACTATTAGTGTATCTTATCAAAAACCTCCTCAAAATCTTAATAACCAACTCTCTATCAATTACTGCTGTCACTTGTTCAAATACCTCTAAGAAATGAGTTAAACAGGCCCTGAGGTTTTAAAATCCATATTGACTGTAACCTAGAACGCTATCATCATACAGATGGCTCTCGAATTTAAGCTGTTGTTTCTATAACTGTATGTGTCACATAGGTGGTGCAAATTTTTCAGGTTTTCTAGGTTGTCGTGAATGTCATTTCCTGACCAGTGTAGCCAAGACATTCCCATTAACTCAGAAGAAGGAATTACTTTGCGTTACTTAAGTGCCGATTTGTTTACATATTTAGAAATTGGTGATTAAAGGGTCACCTGTAAAAAGATTGATCCATCAGAAATTGATAACGTCAGGTGGGCACGCTCAGTTTGCTGTAGAGTATGCCATATAAATATGTGCATGAGGTACCCCACTGGTAGTGATGAGGTATAACATCTGCCAATACTGTCTTAGGAAGAACCTTAAATCAAGACAGCTTGTCGTCTGACTTGAAATATAGAAATGAACTTTATGAGAAAGACTGTTTGAGAGAGTTATGTCGTCCTTTCATGTTTGGGAGATGAGAAACACAGAAAAGAAACAACAAGCTTTGCCATCAACTACCTACGGATGAATTAGCTACACAATCCACAGAGCATGCTCCAGTGAAGACCTGGCAAAGAAATCTTTCCGGGACCTGGAGCAGAGTTACCACATCTGTGGCATCGTACGCGAGTTGCACATCTCCTCCTTTAACGGTTGCGCAGATGCTAGAAAATTATTTTCATGAAAAGCAGCAAGAGGAGATGAACCTCTAAACTCTGCTGAAGTAAGGCTCTTCATGGTTGATTTTCAAACTTATGTTTTGTGTCAAAGCTTATTGTTCTTGCTGATTTCCTGAATTTATAATGCAACATTCATATAACAACATTTTTTTTCAAATAAATTGCCAAGGCTCTAGGGCCTAAGGCTATATTTATTTCTTTAAGGACTTAAAGATATGCTTTTTACATACCAAATGCTGATACTAGGTGTAGACTTTCATATTTGTGTAGGAATTTCATTTAAGTGGTGGTGTCTAATATTTCATAAATGGTGTTTCCTACCCTCCCTCTCTGCATCCTAGCTTCACCCTTGCAGCTGTCTCCCTGGTTCATTCCTTGTTAGTGAGGGGTGTTGTGACAGCTCTGATCTTCAGCCAGTGCTGTCATTTCTTCAGCCAGGCAAAATAACGTGCACATTAAGTGCGCTGTTCCCTATATTCATGGGCTTGTTTCATCCTTACGCACATGTAATGCTCATTTTCCTGTTATTTTGTTAGTTCCATGGGTTCTAGGTATCTGCCAATTGGCTTTATTTTTCTTTACCCATAGTGCTGTATGGGTTTTTTTTCGAGTCTTTGAAGCCCATTTTGATAGTGCTGTTGATCGAGAGCAGTGCAACACTGAAATGTTTCCTCTTCCAACTTCCCTTTCAAAGGATTCTTCACAAATGGTGAAAATCAAGGGATTCTTCCCCTGGTGAAATCACAGAATGAAGAGATATTAAACAGTATCTGAGCAGAACAGAACAACATGGGCTTGAAGAAAATGTGCAATGGCTTGAAAAATGTGACACTAATTAACAGAAGAGGTATCATTGTGATTGGTGCCTCTTTATGTACAGCCACTGACTTAGACGTTTTCCGTAATTGGTGCATTAGAACACTGTGTGGAATGAAGGCAGAGAATAATATAAGCACTCAAACTGTAAATGGTGGGTGGAATGGCATCTGGAAAATTGAGAATATTTGTCTAACATTATAAGGTGAGAGTTTTGCATGGGACGAAAGTCTTTTGAATATTAATTTAGGCCGTAGCTCAGCCTGCTGCTATGAATGCAGTGTACTGATGCTCTGTGAAAGTGCTGCCCTGTGCTCTGAGCACATAGCCATGACATGCATTAAGCAGGGCTAACTTGAGCTTTCTGCAAAGCTCTGTCACTTCCAGCTCAGCTTTGCACCAGACAGCATCAGTGTACTAGCTTGTGCTGAGCAAGTCCCCACACACTGAGGAGCAGTGGGCACGGAGCACTGCTTTTCCTCTTGAAAACCTGTCACTCAGGTTGGGTCTTCTCTGGTCTTTTCTCTTCCTTTAGATTTTACATTAATATGTATCTCTGACATTCACTGCGTGTGCTGAGAAGTGAGGCCTTTCACCTTGTTTTACTTCAAAGACCCTTCCCATTCCTCTCATCCAGTTGTCATTAAGTGGGGTGAGATATAAAGTGATATTTGCTTTCCTTCAATATGGCAGCTCTGATGAGACCTCTCCCACTTGTGGCATTTCTTAATGAAGTCTGATCATAATATACTTCCCATTCCTGGATAGTTCCAGGTAAATTCCATCTGTGAAGGTGCTATACATTGAGATCCCCTAACAATGCACCAGACGGTATGCATTTTAAGGAAATCAGCATGATGTATTACATGTCCCTCTGATTTACAAACTGGCCTCTCATAACCTACTGATTTTGTCCATCAGGGGCTGAAATTTGTGCTTTTGTTTTTCTGCATTTTTGTTACGAATGAAACCTTATTTGAACGACATAGCGGTGTGTTTTTTTTGTAAGAAACAGTCATTTAGCAAATTACTTTGAATGTGGTTATGTGTCAGAGAGGTGTCTATCTGGAAGTGTTAAGATCGTATGAATTCGCAGGACCATTGTGGTGAGTCCAACAGCAGTAGATAGAGAATGGGCACTCTACTGGTCTAATGAAAATGAGTACCCTTCTGTTGAATCATAATGTGTTCTGGAGTGTCTCAGTGTAAAGGTTTGAAACCAATTTTTTCTACAGAGATGCAGAACATCAGTTTTATGCCTCTGTTGAAGGATGAAACAGAATGCATTTAAATGTTTCCCTTAGTCTTAGTCAAAGGACTTTAACTGTGACCCTTCTTGTGTTTGATCAGCACACTGCTCAGACTGATGAATTTGCTTACCTTACATCAGTTGCAAGGATTGTCTGTTGTTGTTTGTTCCTGGTCTGTGGCGAAAGTAAAGGGGGGCATAAGTTTTAGTGCAACAGCAAGACTGAGCACAGACAAGCATGCAAATGTTTTCATCACAACCCAGGTAAAGTCCAGAGCCGCGTCGCCAAATTCATTGAGTGTCCTGCTGACAGTGAAGTTTGAGTCACGCTCACTCTCAGTGAAGGGCAGGACGGGGGTTAGTAGTGTTTTAAAACACAGTGCACTAACGCTCCTGTTGTTTCCTTTAATTGCAGAGCCTGGGATCGGCAGACAGAAAAGAAGCTCAGCAGAAAAAGTAAGTCAGCCAGTCACTCATTTTCTTCCATTTGGTCTTTACTACAGCTTTCCTACACTGTTATCACAATCTTTGAACATCCTGAAATATTACCATGAGATATTTCCACTTTGGCAAGTTAGTCCCTGGAACTTTAGTTGTAAATTGTGAGCTTTTTGGGAATCTTTATTGCAGCTGGCTAGTGACCAAGCTCAGAACTGACAAAGCCTGGGCTATGACAAAGACTTAGGCTGCCCTTTACTGATCTTTGTCCCCACTTGAGATTTTTCTCTCATATCATCCTTCCCCAGTTCACCCACAGGTACTCTTATTCTATCATCCCCTGAGCAGTTGTCCAAGATTGGCTCTGCAAAACCTTTTCAGGAGCTTTTCGTTTCCCTTGGGTTCTCGCAGTGTTGCCAGGAGAGGAAAACAATATGGAAGACTAGCACAGAACACATGCCACTGCAAGTAAAATCCCAATTACTGGAGAGCACAGTTGATATGCTACGGTTTTAATAGTGCTTGCTGTCTCATCAGGGTGAACGGATTCCATAGGCAGTCAGTCAGTTTGCACCGTATCAGTTGCAGCTAACTTGATTTTACTGAGCTGATATCTACACTTCTCATGATTTATATTCATTTACACCAGACTTTATTTATTATGAAAAGGTTATTAATGAATACAATAGCAACTGATAGATTAGCTTTGTAGATAAACTGGAACTACAGGTGTTGGGCACCTGGTGAAATTGGACAGATATGATGCTAACAACTTCTACAATGCAATGAGCAGAGCTTGGTTTATGTTGCTATGAGTAATGTTTCTAAAGGTTATTAAGCATGTGGAAATTATACTTTTTATTTTAACAACGTATGTGCAATATGGAACACCAAATATTTTTGATCCCCACGGATCAAACTTTAGTATGAAGAGTTTTGCAAGAGACCACAAACCTGTGGACATTGGCAAAGAATTGGTTTATTGTTTAAGTTCCTGTTTATGATACCAACGCAGCTTAATGACAGACTATTTACCAGCAAAAAGAAGCAGCAACGTTTAATGTCACAGAATTTAAAAGGAGATAAAACACAACGATACAGTGTGAATTCAAGTTTGAAACCCACTTTTAGATCAAACATCAAACATTCATTCATGTGTCCTTTCAGAAGCTGAAAAACACCACAGTGTGACAGAAGTTCCTTTCTTGATTGCTGTTCAATGTTACTGCTGGAGCCAGTGTTTTAAAGTTCACTGTTGCTTTTCAAATCGCATGATATGAGCTGTAACTCTGTTGCCATGGATTCATAGTAACAGGTTTTGTAGCAGGCAGTCCTTTGTAGGCCTACTTCCTTGTAACTCTGTCTGTGTTAGGCCTGACATTCTCAAAACTTAAAATCAAAGGTAAGGGTGATGTCCAGAGCTTATTGTTCCTGGTTAAAATTCACTCTGATTTTTCTAAATGCCATGATAATAGTTTTAGGTTAAATACCTACTGTACCTCAAGTATTTGTTTTCATTTATGCACAGTTTTCTGGAAACAAGAGGGTTCAGTTATTCTGGAGGTGGAACCGGTAACAGTAGCTAAACCAGGATTTGATCTCGCCACCCTCCGATAAAGAGCCCTAATTATCATTTCTTCACAGTGCCATTCCAATTACAAGCACTGATTTATAGAAAATAAATTGTGGAAGAAGGTGTGCAACTTGAGCTGTAACGTGAATCTTGCACACCATATCTACATTCCTCAATCACGAAACATAATCGTTTCCTCTTACGTTTCCCGTAGAAACTCAAACAATAATTAAAAATCCAAACCCACAGTATATTCTACTGTATCTCGGGACCATTGGGAACTGTATCAAGTGATGCAACGTTTGTCTGTAGCTCCAGCAAGGAATGGAACAGGATTTAATTCATCACCATGGGAACAGGTGGTAGATTGCTCTCAGTTGTCTGAACTGGTGCGGTAAAAGAATAAAAAACACATTGCATAGGTGGGAAGTAAGACCAATGTGCATCTGTGCTAAAGTATTTGTATATAAATCCCATGAATACACAAGGAGAGTACAGGAAAAAATAGGTGATTAAAAATAACTGATGAATGATGGTCCCCCGTGACTCATTTTTGTAAAACTCCAAAATTAGTGTTGATAACTGTCATCGTTATCTTTAAAAATTGCACAAGGAAAACTCTGGAATATGACGCTCTGTCTCCCAGACTATTTGTTTGGTAGAGGAGATACTTTAAGTAGCGTTTATACATTAAGAGTTGACCATAGATGAAAATGATGGGGTGGCCAAAAGAATACATCCCTAGATTTATTATTTATGTAAATGTATTTATGTATTTATGTCAAGCTGTTTCCAATTGACCCTGGTGTTCAAAGTGTGTAAGGAAGTGGTAAACCAGAACTGTTGTTTGTACAGAGTACTGTACAATCATGCCATATGATTTTTTTGAATATTCGTGAATGTTTACAGATTAGAGGAGACCTTTCATTCCTCATTACCCCATTCGATTTTTAGTAGCTAATTGATCCAAGGATCTCATCCAGCTGTTTCTTCAAAACAGCCCGAGTAACAGCTTCAACAACATGGCTGGGTAGTTTGTTCCAGACTCTCACAGCCTCCTGCACTTCCTGTTTTCGATGTAGTGCTTCACTGTTGTTCTTGGGGAAGAGTTTTCTCAGGAAGAAAAAGGCAATAGGAACTGGAAAGAATCTTAGATAAAAGGAAGCTCAATATTTGACACTGCATGCTGGTCAACGGATTAGGTAATTGGTAAGTGTCTCTGTCTTCAAAGTAGTCCAATCATTTTTCCCAGCAGTATCAGATCATTTATTTTGTAGTCACTGATAGACTACACATCTTTTTGTTTGTTCTAAACATGTTAGCGGTTAATTTGCCAGGCCCAGTGGGCAGTTCAAGATTGAAAACCAAATATCAGGTGTGCAAAGCTGCACTTGTAAGGGGGTGATCAAGCCGGGTACGAGAAGCTCTGCCTTCGGCTTTGATGAGTGTGAAGGGAATATGCTCATTCTGAGGGGCCGCAGTAGTTCCTGAGAACTTCCTTCTGTGATCATCGGGGATGACGATGACCCCGAGTGCTGGCGATCATAATCACAGCACTCAAAAGCATATGTCCTCGAGCTTTGGCGAGAGATTTCTGTTGATTAAAGGACAATTGTTCCCTTTCCACAAGCTCTGGGATGAGAGCATGCATGTGTTCACACTGCAGAGTGAATCACCCAGCTGACTCACTCCTTTAAACTGCGTATTTGTATGTGTGCCAGAATGACATTTTTTGCTGGTTACCCCAACTGTGACGGAGCGTTCTTTCAGGGCCCGATGCAGACAGCAAAATCCGGGGAGGAGTGAGGAAAACATGGGGAAAAAAGCATGCAAAGGGGCTGGAAGGAAAACAGGGGGTGTGTCCAGGGTGTGCTGGTGTTCGGGGGAGGTGTGGCCGAGGCAAACAGTCCAAAGGAGTCCGAGGCAAATCCATGAGCGGCGATAGTCCAAGACCGGGTGGTCCATCCTGACGAAGACGAACAAAGTTAAAAGCCGGAGCGGGATCCGGCAGGGGGACGGGGGAATAAAGGGGGGGTCACGGGACCAGACGCTCCCTAATCCCGGACTCAGAAAGTCAGGATGCTGTGATGAAGCCTGTGCCGTCGAGTCGCTCCTGGATTTGCGGATAGGCGGGCTTCCGGGGGTCCATCTTCCAACGCTGAGCCAGATTGGCAGGAACGCCTGGCTTTTACAGGACAGGGGGCAGGAACCGGAGGCAGGTGCAGGGGATCAGTAGAAAACTGAAGGAAGGACAGGAGCGATCTTAAGGGGAGGGGTTTAAGAGCGTGACACTAACCACTCCCCACCATGCTTGCAAACCACTGGATTGAGACATTAGACTTTGGAAAGTGCAGGTGGAAGACAGGCGATTAGGGTGGTCTTTCTTTTCTTCCTAAGATTTAGCACAGGAGAGGTAGAACAAACTGAGACCCTGGGGATCTTTGGGGAAACTTCTAATTTAAGATTACCGGTGTAGGAATTAAATTATTTCAGTCAGTAATCCATTTTACTGTCTCCAATGACACCTGGAGCGTTTTGGTTTTTGGAGAATGGGAGAGACAGTGATTTGTTATTTTCGTTTTCGATTTGCATTAATATAAACTCATGGGCCCTATGAAATGAAATAGGTTGGAATCAGGTCCACTAGCCAGATCGGTTCAGGGATCCTTGATACTTGAAGGTCCGTGAGAGTTTGACTCAACTGGACACTACTATGGAGCTGAAAATTGACACCTCTAAAGTGGCACAGTGGAAGTGTTAAAGGACTTGTTCTACCTTAAGTGGACAGACGGGGAAAAATGTTCAGCATAAAGGTGATATATGCTGTCTGCTTTAGTAGACCACATCAGTAAATGGATTAAGTTGTGTGAAGGGCCAATTTGAAGAGCAAATTGAGAACGGCACCATTTATTTTATTGTTTCTGCCTGGCAGTCTGGATAGGGGCTTTTAACCAGGGTTCATTTTCTTCAAATTGAATCTGTTCTGTTTAGGGTTGGTTTGCATCCTCTAGTCCTGGAATCCTACTGTAATTAGACCCGAAGGACTAACAAATGAAATAGATATTTTAGTGAAAAGCAGTCGTGAAGCTGAGGCTTGATAAAATACAAAAGCTTTATCAGCCCCAGTGGCCAAAAAGTTAATCAAGTATAACATTCATTGTGGATGTAGTTTAAGTGAGTGATTTACCAGCGAGTAAGTGATTAAAAGCTCCAGGAAGCACCTCCTCGTGCTTATCAAATCATGCTAAATCATCTTTCACTTGCAGTTCATCGGGGTCTGAACACATTCGGAGGCTGTTGTCTGCAGCTCTTGCAAGCAAAAGAGAGTGAGAATGTTGATTTGACTTGTTTATCTTGGTGTGAAATTCTAACAGATGTATTCAAGGACACCTTGAACTATCTGTCAAGAATATAATGCTCATTCCTGGACTGAGGTAATGAGAAG